GTATGACGGAAAGCTCTCGTTCCGGACGCATGTGGAGAAGTGGGCTGCGAAGGCGAAAAGGGTCATGGAGTTCCTCCAAAGCCCTTCGAACACCCGGCGTGGAATCCCTCTCTGGTCGGCACGACATGCGGTCACGGCCTGCGTCCTCCCGATCCTCCTTTACGGAGCCCACGTGAGGCATCCGGGGGCGCTCCGGCCTTTGTGGAGATCGTCCCGCCTGGTTCCGCTGCGAATTACCTGCTTGAACAATAGGATCCAGCAGACCCTAAAACGTGGCGATGCGTGCTATCGCCCGGCTATAACCAACCAGTATTGCAAACATTTGTACCTCAGTAGCCGTGGACGCAGGTCTCACAGAGGCTACTTTCTTCTTTCGAGGTGGATGCCGATGTCAGCAGCCCTTCCCTTGTGAGAGGCTTCTCTCTGCGAGCTTCGCCACCCCCCAATACTTCCCATGTCAGGACGAGGGAAGAGAAATCAACAGGCAGAATCCTGCGTCAAGCTCGCCTCCTGACTCCCACTGCAGGGGAGCTGCGGGCCAGTCTGCATGATTCGGACGGTCCGCCCAGTCACGCTAGAGATTCGTCCCGGTGCCTATTTGGAAGTCGGCTGCTGGTGGATTTGGAGAAATGGCGGATGTGATCGGCGCGTAGATGCAGAAGCTGGAGGTGTCCTGGTCAGGGATACACGGACCATCTGATGCAAGGTATGGTTGAAGACTTGAGCTGACTATTAGACGTTGGCCCTGAGGGGTGGCTCACGGGCATCGGCCAAGCCAACAGCGGACCACAGCCCCGAAAGAGGAGAAATCTGCATAAGTCAACCCGGCTGAAAGATGCCACAAGGTGGCCAAACTTGCACTGCGGAAGACTTGCGGGATAATTTGCTGGAGCTCACATCAAGGGGTACTACCCCCTGGGGCCAAGTCTATACAAAGGCACTCACCACCCTCTTCAGGATCGCTTGAATCATCATCCATTATTTTACCACCTTAAGTCTGTTCCTACCTGTATAAATTCCCATTCATTTCATAACCTGGTGCAGTTCTTCATTGCCTGAATATTGACACTTCGCTTGTGCAAGTGAACGACAACCATTTTCAACATGCCTTTTCCATTCAAACTCCTCTGCGACCTCCTCAATGAACTCAACTGCAACAGTAAGTGGTCAATCAAGGCCGACAAGCGCCAGAGGCACGACTCGCGCGTCGTTCTTGCTTGGTTCAACAAGCATGACGGAATTATACCACGTCGAGGACCCGGTGCTGTCGCATTCTTGTCTTGTCTCTTTCCCCACCGCAGACCAGATCGAGTATTCGGTCTGAGGGAGAAGCAGCTTGAGCCCATTATACAACGTGCACAAGGTCTTGGATCATCTCGGATGGAAGAACTGCAAAGATGGAAGACCACCGACGGCCCAGACTTTGCATCCTGTGTCGAACACGTGATGTCGGCCACTGACTGCGAGTCCCGCATTGGGTCGGGGGTCACTTTGGAGGAGCTTGATGAGGTGTTAGACCAAGTTTCGGCTTCGTCGCCTTTCTCGTCATCAAGCCTTCGTGAAGGGGTTCGAGATAAGCACGATCCATCACTTCGAGCAGCTTGCCTCCTTTCGACTTTCTTCAGGCAACTGCACAGTTCCGAGGCTAAATGGCTGGTTCGCATGATACTGAAGAACTACAGCCCTGTTGAGATTCCAGAAAGATTGGCAATGGGCGGATTTCATTTCCTATTGCCCCATGTCCTTCAGTACCAGTCCACCATCCCAGCAGCTCTGCAGTTCCTGCAGCGGCCGACTATTGAGCACATGCCTTTCCAGCCGACGACCGATGTTTTCGAGAGATTAGGAGACGTCGCGAGCCAAGAACTCGAGCCAAAAATCGGGGTAATGATTGGGAGAGGGATTTATGCAAAAGCGAGGAGCATTAACCATTGCTGCCAATTGGCTGGCTCGAGACGGATGACTGTTGAGCGGAAATATGATGGGGAGTACTGCCAAGTTCACATCGGTAGGAGCAATTCGGGTACTAGCATCAAAATATTCTCCAAGAGTGGACGAGATTCAACCAACGACCGGACGGGGATTCACCACGCCATACGGCACAGCCTGGAGTTGGACTCAGCAAGTTGCATGATCAAGAGGCAGTGCATTGTGGAGGGCGAGCTCCTGGTATGGAACCAAGCCAAAAGGAGAATTGAGCCGTTCCATAAACTGCGCAAACATGGGCAACGGTCAGGGCAGTTTCTAGGAGTTTTGCGAGATTCGCCCATCGACCCGAACGAGCACCTCATGATCACGTTCTATGACATTATGTTACTGGACAACATCGTATTGGCTAAAGAGAGCCATGATAGACGGCGTCAAACCCTTGAAAGTCTGGTCCACCGGATGCCGGGATGGGCGGATCTTGGATCACGCCAGGTAATCCAATTTTCATCAGCTGATGCAGCCGAGCAGCTGAGGAAGACATTCGCACGAGCCATTTCGCAGCGGTGGGAGGGTCTGGTACTAAAGGGCTGTGGCGACCCATACTTGTCATTCAACAATTGTCGGACATTCATAAAACTAAAGAAAGATTACATTCCGGGTTTAGGTGATACGGCTGACTTTGTTCTTCTTGGCGGTCGCCTCGATGTGGGCGAGGCGTATAGACTCAAACTCGGCAAGGTATGGTGGACGTCGTTCTACATCGGCTGCGTGAACAACAAGGACGAAGTGTGTCGCCATCATGCAAAGCCGCGAATTCGCATTATCGACGTGGTGGATAGCCATGGTATCTCCAAGCGAGACATCAAGTATCTGAACGGTCATGGTTACTTCACTCGAGTTCCGACAGCCAACTCTTTGCCTGAGTTCGACGTCGTGCTTGGGCCAGAACGGAGACTGCAACCAACTGAGCTATTCTCGAATCCCTTTACAGTAGAAATAGTCGGCGCTGGGTTCGATAAGCCGGCAAATGCTCAATATTATACTTTACGCTTTCCTCGCGTGCTGAAAATCCATGGCGATCGCTCGTTCAGGGACGCCATCGGATTTCAAGAGCTACAAAAGATGGCCGAAAAGAGTCTAATGGTACCAGATGAGAGAGCTGGCGAGGAGGAAACTTGGCCCAGGAAGTTGGGGAGCCAGGACAATGTGATTAGCATGTCAAAAAGCAACCCCCTCAACCAGTCTGGCACAAATGTTCAGGATGTGCAAAGCACCCCGCATGTAGTCAAGGAGGACACATCCCTTGGGCGGAAAAGAGTGGCGAAATACGAGCAGGATAGTGGAGCAACTGCCAAGCGAGCAAAACAGAACTGAAGGAGCCTCGATAGGCATGATTCTCTTAATTCTGTTACTAATCAGTTATGACAGGATCGGTTATCTCATTCAAGAGTATTTTGCGCGTGCATCGACTGTGAGCAGGGCACGGCCGTCATCATCTGCGGGCTCTACGACGTCACGACAGGTTACCCGTCCACGCCAGTGGCGGCCGTGTGCGGCGAGCTCGAAGGGCGGCCGGCCGTGACGTTTGTGTCGCTGAACCTTGCCACTGCAAACCTTGCCACTCCAAACCCTGCTACTTTCCGCTTGAAGAGCGCGCCTCTCGACGCTGGGAGCACAAGCGGACGCTTCCTCTACGACCTAGAGCCGAATTCGGGCTCTGAGCATTGGCTTTGAGCATTGAAGTTTCAAACGTACCATGCCTTTGGCTACCCCCGGAGTCGATGATCTGCCGCCGCGCCATCTTTGGTTGCTGCAGCACTGTAAATCTATAGTTCAGCGGCCCAATCGCATCAGAGGATTGTGGTAGAGACCGCTCGATTTAGCTGTGTCTGATTGGCCACGCGGATTGCTCTAACAGTGTGAGGCAGCCCGACATTACATACAGCAAGGAAGGATTACATGCTGGATGACAAGAGCCGCGGGCGATGGGCGGGTGCTGTACGCAACAAACTTGCAAGGTGCTCGTGTTTTATGGGGAGGGCCTAACAGCCGGTGAGTCACAGGCATCATCCCATCGAAAGGGCTGCAGGCACACTAGGTGACGAGGGGAGGTGTCACACAGGAGATATCAGCGCTGCAGGGTCGACGCTCCCTGCTTACTGCCTGGCAGGCAGTAGACACTAGGCGAGCTGCTGCCTGCAGGCAGCAGCTCCACTCACTCTTACAACTGATGTATTTAAGAATGGATTATTCCTACTCATTAGATAGCAACAAGAGTCTTCCAGTCCCTGATCTTTATGCTCACTTGCTCATCTCCCGTGCGATAGGAGGCGTCATTGCTAAGTGTGGAAGCCATCTCAAGGACGTGGTGTGAAGCGGGAGCGACCGGTGCAGTTCTTGGGGGAACTTGGAAGGGATGGACTTCCGAGTTCTTTGCGCCATACTTTGCGGAGACCGAAGAGCACATGGACGAGACGCGTTTTTTGGCACCCATAACAGGCCGGCCGGTCAAAACCCCAGCTTGGAAACCACCCGTATACCGTACTGTAGCAGCCATCTCATAAGCGGAAGTGCGTTCTGGCTGCGGTGCCAAGTTTTGCAGAACGAGGGCTTGAAGAATTGAAAACACCCTCGACTGCCGTGTGGCGACTTGCAGAAGAATGATGTCTGTTTGCTACTGCGTGTGGCAACCATCCCAAGAATATGGTGCGAAGCAGGAACGCGTTCCGGCTGCCGGTGTAACGGGCAAGCCGCTTTAACGGCGGCTGCGCCGCCTAGCTTCTAGAACCTTCCATTGGCTCGAAGCTATAAAATGCTATTGTGCTCTCATGTAGTAGATTCTCTTTCTTTCTTTCTTCTCTATCTTGATAGTAAACAGCATAGGGACTAGTTAGTTGTATCAACTCACTAGAGGCCTTTCACATACTATCAAGATCACTGAAGACATTGAAGACACTGAAGACACCGAAGACACTGAAGACACCGAAGACACTGAAGACACCGAAGACACCGAAGACACTGAAGACACCAAACTGAGTCCCGTCGAACTATTAGCGTTCAGCGAAGTCGCGATGGCCGAAGATAACAACAACATGCAGTCGGACGTCCTCAGCGCCCTGGTTGCCGAGATACGAAGTCTGAGAGAAGAGAGTTCCCGAAGAAACACCCAGTTTGAAGAACGTTTTATTGCCCTGGAACTCCAACAACACCAGCAAGCCCGTTCGTCTGAACTCCTAGAGCCAACGCCATCTGTCACCCCGGCTGTCCCCATTGAGGACACCCGTGTGGTCGCCACTCACAACCCTCACCCAACCAAGCGCCCCAAATTACGAGACATACCGAAATTCGGCGGCGACAAGGCCCAGTGGCGAAGCTGGAAACTAGAAACCGAAGGAAAGCTACGAGTCGACAAAGAAGCCCTTGGAGATGCAGAAGGCCACTTTATGTACATCTTCATGAGCCTAGAAGGCAAGGCTAAAGACAACGTGACCACATTTGTGGAGATGCAAACCGAGAAGAAAACGTTCAATGTTGCTGAACTACTCAACCGCCTCGAGTTGTTGTACGGGAGAGGGATCGCAAGCAGAGAGCTACACGCAACTTGCATTCGATTAAGCAAGGGAGAATGAACCATTCACGTCCTTTTACCCCGCTTTGAGAGGAGATCGCCAATGCCAACGCCGAGTATTGGCCAGACGACAGCAAGATTTCCTACCTCCAGGAGGCACTAAACGACAAAATGAAAGCAGCCCTTATAGGCTCTGACCCCTCTGCCATCAGCAGCTACGTTGGGCTGGCGAGGAGATGCGATTCGCTGAGCAGCCAGATGGAACTGTTGGGTCAGTGGAAAAGGCCCGAGGCAACACAAAGAGTTCGGACAACTATGACAACCACCAGAACCATGGAGGCCAGGCCGCCCAGAAACAGTCCGGCCAGAAAACTGAAGTTAGACGAGAGGACATGATGGAATGGGAGCCAACTCTACAAGCATCCGCGAAAGTGAACGCTGCGCGCACCCGCAGTGATAAGAACACATATGGTCACCAATCCAACCGACCAGAAGACCAAGCGCTGTTGGGCAAGCGTGCAAAGTGGGTCGATCAGACCGAGATGGACGCCCGTTACCGTGAAGGGCGTTGCCTTCGTTGTGGAAGAGACAACTGCAGGATCGAGCGCTGCCCATTGGCTGCGCCTATCCGACCCGCAAACGCGACCCGTCGCACTCAGGTCAATGCCGTGGCTCCGACACGACCAGCGGTCACTAATGCCGAGATCGCCGAAGACGAAGCTTCGTCTCATAGCGATGAAGATTCAGACTAGGGACACGCGGCGGCTGTGAGAGAATGGGATGTGAGCGGAAAAGCAAAAATGGACGGAGAACCGTTCATAGCAGACGTCAGGGTGAACGGCACAGACTTTGTGCCATCTCTTGTCGACTATGGCTGCCTCTGCTACGGCGCGGTTAGCAAGCGCACATTTCACTCTCTCCAGTTGCCACATATACGCGTCCAGCCGCGCATCTTGGAGAATGCAGCGGGAGACGGCAAGGAGGTCAAAATCGACAAGATCACGTATGTGTCGATCGACCTCGATGGACATCAGCAGCATCGTGTTTTCATGTACGTCATCGACGATCTTAACTGGGACATGATCCTGGGTAAACGATGGATGGAAGACCAGGATGTTCACATCCACGCAAAGGAAGGATATCTCGAGATCGGGTCCAGTGGAGTTCAAGTACGAGACCGACGACGTTACCAGCCTCCCCAGCTAGACGTCTCTAATGTCATGGCCGCAACCTTTTTAGCGGAAGCACGCCGTGACAAACGCAAAGGCGGCATTGGAGTTCACTCGGTCACAATGGCGGATATTGACAAGGCCCTAAGACCGAAACCGAAGACTGACGTAATGGAGAAGCTGCCACCACAGTACCACAAGTGGTCTCGAGCTTTCTCTCAGCAACTGGCCGACCAGCTGCCCCCTCATCGGCCAGGTGTGGACCTGAAGATCGAAGTGCTGAAAGACGAGCATGGCCGAGAGAAGCCCTACCCTGGGGACCGCTTTACAGCATGTCCCGCGAGGAGCTATTGGTGCTACGAAAGACCCTCACATAACTACTCGACAAGGGATTTATTAGAGTCAGCAGCTCGCCAGCCGCAGCACCAGTCCTTATGGTGAAGAAGCCCGGTGGAGGCATCCGCTTCTGCGTGGATTACAGAGGTTTGAACCATATAACGAAGAGGGACCGCTATCCCTTGCCCTTACTGAGCGAGACCTTGCGAACTATAGCCAAGGCAAGGTGGTTCACCAAGGTAGATGTAATAGCAGCGTTCCATAAGATCAGGGTCGCCCCCGCCGACGAAGAAAAGACAGCTTTCAGAACGCGCTATGGATCCTTCGAATGGCTGGTAGTTCCATTCGGCCTGACAGGCGCACCAGCAGCCTTTCAGCGGTACATTAACAGCGCGCTCCAGGATTACCTAGACGATTTTGTGTCAGCATATATCGACGATGTCCTGATCTTCTCCTCTGAAGCCTGCAAGACCACCGCGACAAAGTCGGCAAGGTCCTCCAACGACTGATGGATGCTGGGCTGCAACTGGACATCAACAAGAGCGAATTCGAAGTCAAGGCTGTGAAATACCTTGGGTTTATCATCGAGGCGGAGTGTGGGATCCGAGTCGACCCAGAGAAGGTTGAGGCTGTGAAGGGATGGGCAACCCCGACGAATGTTAAATCCGTGAGGAGTTTCATCGGATTCGCGAACTTCTACAGGATATTTATGCCAGACTTCTCGGTGATAGCTGAGCCGCTAACGCGGCTAACGAAGAAGGACGTGCCATTCCGTTGGGATGGATTGTGCGACGAAGCCTTCGAGAAGCTCAAGGACCTGTTGATCACGGCCCCGATCCTGCACACTTCCATCCAGAAAGGGAGACTATCTTGGAAGCAGACGCTTCAGGATTCGCGTCGGGAGGCGTGCTCTTGCAGAGAGATGATAAGGGTGGACTGGTACGACCTGTCGCATACTTCTCGAAGAAACATTCGGCAGCCGAAGCGAACTACGCTATCCATGACAAGGAGCTACTCGCCATTCTCAGATGTTTGGAGCAGTGGGAACCAGAGCTACGGGCAGTAGAGCACTTCAAGATCCTAACGGACCACAAGAACCTGAGATACTTCTACTCGGAAAGGAGGTTGACAGAGAGACAAGTGCGGTGGTCGGAGTTCCTGTCCAGGTTCCAATTCGAACTCGAATGGAGGCCGGGCCGCAAGGGCGGATTGCCTGACGCACTCTCTCGACGGGACCAGGATATGCCGGCCAACCACTCTGATGAACGACTAAAGGGACGCATTATGAGGCTATTCCAAGATGATCACCTTAGAAGGGTCCCAATATCGACATTGTCTACCAACACCGAGGGTGCCCAGGAAATCAACTTCGGAAAAGAGATCAGGATATTTGAAGATGAGGAGTTACAGCAGCTGTGGCACGCCGCACGCCAAGAAGACAAGCTCTATCAAGAACTCACGAAGCTGGTAGCAGATGGAGCGAAGAGTTTGCCAACAGAATTACAGAAGGAGAAGGTTGTCAGCATTTCAGAGTGCTCATTAGACAATAGAGGCCTGCTGTGCTTTAGAGAACGCGTCTGGATACCCGGTTCGGAGCCGCTACGTACGAGGATCATCCAGGAAACTCACGACTCTCATATCACCGGACATCCTGGAAGGGACCTCACGTACTCGACTCTGTCGAGACGCTTCTTCTGGCCGGGTGCCGCTAGCGATGTACGTCGGTTTGTGCGCAACTGCGAGGTTTGCGGACGAAACACCATCTGGAGGATACAAAGAAAGGACTCCTAAAGCCGCTCCCTATTCCGCAACGCATATGGAGCGAAATTACCATTGACTTTATCACTGACCTCCCACCGTCGGGGAAGGATGGCGCGACGAACTGCATGGTGGTCACGGACCGACTCACCAAAGGCGTCGAACTCGAAGGATTGTACGATATTTCTTCAGAAGCGGTTGCAAGAAGACTATTCGAACGACATTACCCTGTCCATGGCATCCCAACGGCTATAACCAGTGATCAGGGTCCCCAGTTCGTCAGTGGTATGTGGAAACATTTCTGTCAGCTGCTAGGGATCGAGCAACGGTTGTCGACAGCGTACCATCCACAAACCGACGGTGCAACAGAACGAATGAACCAAGAGGTAGAGAGGATTCTTCGGATATGGACAAACTATCTGCAAGAGAACTGGTTAGACTTGCTTCCAATCGCGATGGCGACTATTAACGAGCGGGAAGCAACCTCCACCGGACTGAGTCCGTTCTTCTTCATGCATGGCTACCATAATGAGCCAATCCAGTTAGTTGAGCATCGAAGAACGGAAGACACGACACAGGGAGAAGCTGCAGCGGAGGATTTCATTCAGAGACTACAGGACGCCACGGAGTTTGCGCAAGCAGCGATAGCTATGGCCCAGGAAATACAGCAAGCACAAGCCAACAAACACAGGACGGCCGCACCGAGATACAAGCCTGGGGATTGGGTATACCTCAACTTGAGAAATGTCAAAACATCGCGACCCTGCAAGAAGCTCGATTGGTTACATGCCAAATATCAAGTGCTCGCCGAAGTCAGCCCACATGCCTACAGGTTGGATGTGCCTGGACGCATCCATTCAGTCTTTCACGTCGATCTACTCCGGCCAGTCCCTGGAGACCCATTGCCTTCGCAGAAAATCAATCAAGAGAGTGCCCCGCCGGTGCTGGTGGACGGCCAAGAGATGTACCTTGTCGAAAGAATTCTGGATGAAAGAATGGAAGGTACGCATAAGAAGGTGCTCGTAAAATGGCATGATTACTCGCAGCCTACGTGGGAGCCCTCGCCACTATTCGACACACTGATGCATGGAAGCAATGGAAGAAACATCAAAGAGTGTCACCTTCTCAAGTCATCTTCACACAGATTGCCACAATCCCACGGAAGAGGAAACGTTGGAAGGAGGGAGGTAATGTAACGGGCAAGCCGCTTTAACGGCGGCTGGGCGCCTAGCTTCTAGAACCTTCCATTGGCTCGAAGCTATAAAATGCCGTTATGCTCTTATGTAGTAGATTCTCTTTCTTTCTTCCTTTCTTCTGTATCTTGATAGTAAACAGCATAGGGACTAGTTAGTTGCATCAACTCACTAGAGGCCTTTCACAGTCCTTCTCTCGCCGGCGCTTGGTCCTCTCCTCTTCCTCCACTCTCCGTCGCTTAACCCGCTCTTCTTCTTCTTCTCTCCGTCGCTTTATCCTGGCCGTGCCCTCTGCAACTGATAGAGTACCGCCGTCGCCAATGTATTCACGGCGCTGTTCTTTTCTCTGCTTTCGCCGCTGGTTTTCTGACCGAAGTTGCCGGTTTTCGTCGGCAAGGAGGGCGGCGCTGTGCAAGGCCATTTGACATCCTTTGATAAGCTGGTTGATAGCTTGTGAGACTGGCGAGTCTGTATTTTGTGGCCGGCGTTGAAGAAGCCTTTCGGCGTGAGTGGTAAGCTGGTTGACGTTATACGGAGTCTTGGCCGCTTCCAGGCTCTTGTGGGGCTTGGAGTATTCGACGGCGAAAGTGCCTGTCGGCGAGCCTCTAAGTATATGGGAAGGAAGTCCTGTTTGTCGATATTATGGATCCCAGCGAGCATTTTCTCTTGAACCTTGCGGCCGTATATTGTTTTCAACGGCGAAAAGCACCCGACATCGAGAGGCTGCAAGAGATGTGAGGAATGTGCAGGCATTTGGAGTAACTCACCACGATGGAATTGGCCGTACAGGACTTGTCAAATTCCGGCGTGACGTGGCTGCCGTGCCCGTCGAGAATAAGAAGTCGATGCGTACCAACCGTACGGCGCCGTGTATTCGGATCAAAGACTTCCTTTAACCAATTCAAAGCAAGGTCGTCGGTGTAACGGGCTAGGCCCTGCTGGACAAGGCAGTGCCTTGTCGGTCTAAGCACTGTTGCTCCAGTAACGGCTTAGTCTATTTTGTTTTCTGTCCTTCTATTTTCCTTTCCTTCTTCTTTCCTCAGCTCGAATGTAAAACGCACGAGGACTACATAGCTGTAATTTACACTATTAGAACCCATCACACACAGCGCTGGCGTTGCATCCGGCTTTCCGATGGGGGTATTTTGAGAATGACTGGAGGGATCATGCAAAATGGGTGACAAAGGCAAAGCAGGTGGTTCGACAAGTGTGGGAAAGGAATATCGCCAACTTCACGTCATACGAAGCCCCGTCGCCGACGAACCGGTCGCAAAGCGGCAGAGGAAGTACTACAACCCTTTCCAAGCATACTGCGAACGCGGTCGCATGGTCTCTGGCAGTGTGCTGAAAAGAGAAGCCTTGCCCGACGGCATTGATCAGGATACGGATGCACAGCTTAAGCCCCGAGATCATAGAGGAAACACAGTGCCTACGGAATTGGCTAGGCCATCAAGCGATCACTGTGGGCGAAGTCTTCGGCTTTGGTGGGGAACTGATGGGTTGGGATGCAGAGGTAGCGTGATAGTGCCCCGGGCCTCACCCTGGCGTCGGATATCAAGTATTTCAATTTAATTCAAGTTAAGTAAGTTGAGGGACGAATTTATTTCAAGTAATCAAGTTAGACCCCCGAACTTGACTTACTTGAATTGATGTCAGCGCTGTGTTATAGCAGGCTACAGGAGAGAGTTGAGAAAAAAAGCAACCTGATCTCTTTTACGATGTCTGAATATAGGAAGTAGAATCCCGCAGATAGCCGGCCGAGCTTAAACTCCAGTGGAGAACTCCATACAACGACTACATGCTTACTCCATTCATGGCCAATATCGGATCTTTCGCCGTATGCCGGGAGAGTCCGACGATGGTGTGTTGAAACAACCTAAGGCCTCCCTATAGTACCCTATGAAAGCATTCCTCCAGAAGCTTTCACAGGAATCGTGATGATTCTAGCTACTGGAGTCACCGGCTATATCAGCATACTACCCGCAGTTCAGAATCGTACCCATTTGCGGGATAAATACTTACCCACTATAGTTGCCGGCCATATTAGCATACTATTCGCAGTAAAGATTCATCGCCTCTCACGAGAGAAACACTTACCTCCTAGAGTTACCGGCCATATTAGTATACTATCCGCGGTCAAGACTCGGTGCCAATCGCGGGATAAACACTTACACCCTAGAGTTACCGGCTAGATTAGTATGTTGTCCGTAGTTAAGGATCGTCGCTAATCGCGTCAAAATACTTACCTTCTACAGTTCCCGGCTATATCAGCGTACTATCCGCAGTCAAGGGCCGTAGATGGTCGTGGGCCGTGGCTGGTCGTGGGATAACACTTACTCCCGAGAGTTACCGGCTATATCAGCAGACTACCCCTGGTCAAGACTCGGTGCCAATGCCTTGAGGAACGAAAGGATTATGCCCCGCGCCCGGACCACCCATTCTCTGTTTCGGCTGCCTCCTCGACATCTAAGCCGGATAGCCCTAAACGGGATCCCGCCTTGGGGGACTCGCCCCTCGATTCGATTGCTGTGCATGGCTTGGGCTCGCCGGTCCGTCCACTTCGAAACCGTCACCTATCTAAGAAAGCTGCCGCTACTGAAATGGAATAGCGATGCGAAACCATATGCCGCTGCAGTTTCCTAAACGAGTAAGACAGTTCAACCTTCTACTTTGCATCCTAGTCCTTAGTCCTGCCTTGGTTCTATCGATTTTTTCCCTTCCGTCCTCAACCCCTTCTGTTTTTACTCCATCTTCGACTCTTCCCTCTCTTCTCTGTAGCCTTTCGTTCCTCAAGGCTCTTTGCGCAACCCCGGTTGGGTTGCCTCTCCAGTTAATACTTACGCACTAGAGTTATCGGGTATATCAGCATACTGCCCACAGGTAAGACTCGGTGACAATCGCTTTATGCCTTGAGGAACGAAAAGGCTCTTCTGGACGCGAAAAAAACCCCAAAAACCCCCAAACCTACTTTACCCTCGAAACCCTTGGCTTCTGATTGGAGAACCCATCTTGGCTGCTGATTGGAGAGCTTTTAAATCCCGGCTTCCCTTTGGTCGCTTAATGATTACTTACCCTTTTCGTCCTAGCCCTTTTGTTTCGCCTTCCGGCGCAGTTCGCCCTCTCCGGTCCTGCCAGCGACCTAACCTCGCGACTAGGACTCAGCTCCTCGTGAAACCGGTTTTTGGCCTTTTCCGACCAAACCCTCTCCCGCACCCCTGACACGAGCATGGTGCCGTCCAGCGCCCTGCGCCCGGCATCGCGATAGCTACACGTCCAGGCCCGTGCCTTTAGAGTCCAGGGAATCAACGTCTAGCCATCCCGAGGCCTCGCGGACAGTCTTGTCGCTCAGCTGGCCCAGCCTCGCTTCTGCGTCTGTCATCTCGTCTGGCACCTTGTTGCCCACCAGGTCCCTCTCCCGCAATTTCGAGACCAGCATAATGCCGTCCAGCGTCGGGCAGCGAGACAGCTGCACGTACAGGCTGTACGGGTCGCACTGCGAGGACACGGCGCGTCCGTCGATGTTTGACGTCCGCGTTCCCCGCAGCTCCAGAGCTACACGCTCGAGCGTCCTGCCCTGCACTTTATAGTCTGTGCACGCGAAGGCTGCCGTACAGGGCAGGCCCTTTCGGCTGACGTCGTTCTGCTGCCACGGCCTCTTTCGCTGGCACTGTATTTTGACCGTCATGGGCGTCAACAGGACCGTGCCTGGCGGCATCCCGACGAAGTGAACGTCGTTCGTCGTCTCCGACTCCAGCATTATCCCCGCCGGCGGCCGAAATGGACCGTCGTGTCTGCCGTGATACGATGCCCCGGGTACGACTTGTCGAGGACGACCTCCAGCGCCGTGTAGCCGGCGCCGTTCACCAGCTTTAGCCCCTGATGGGTGTTATGGTTCACGACGACCGGCATCCCCGGCACGAACATGAAGACGGCCGGCACCGGGATCGCGCTGTCGTCGCCCTGGTTCAGCATCATGATGGCCTCTTCCTCCGTCGGCAGGGCCTCCTTCCACGTATGATCCGAGATGAAGATGCGCATCACTGACCGCTGCTGGGCCCGGAACGCCAAGCTGGCCTCCATGTTGAGGTTCCACCGGTTCCTGTTCAGCGGCGTCACCACGGTGATGCACGTCTCCCACGGGATCCGCCTGCCTTCCCGGTAGCATCTTGAGTTGAGGAGGTCCAGATCCGAGCGGTCCTGCACGCCCAGTCGAATCCGCCTTAGCAGCCTCTGCAATTCCGGATCTCCCGCGGCGCGCACCTGCTCGTCCAGCATGACCGTGGTCGTGAATCTCTTCCACAACGCGTGCGCCTTGTCGTGCTGGTGCCGTGTCTCGGCCTTGAAGGAGCTGTCTACGTCCCACGAGACGGCGGTGCTGGGGAGGAGGATCGAGCGTTCTTGGACGGGGCGGAATTGGTGGAAGTCTCCGCAGAAGAGGACGATCGGAATACCTCCAAAATCCTGGTGCGACCCGCGCAGCCGGCAGAGCTGCTCGTTCACCGCGTGTAGCGTCCGCGCCCCGAGCATGCTCACCTCGTCGATGACGAGCACGTCCTTCTCCTGCCAGTCCATCCGGGATTGCCCGTCGACGAACCGCTCCGCCTGTTTCGGCAGTCGCACCCCGTCGAGATCCTTGGCCGCGTTTGCGGCTGCCGCGAGATCTTTCGAGAACCCGCAGGCGGAGTGGATCGTAATGCCGTTGATCCGCGCTGCTGCCGTCCCCGACGTCGCCGTTATCATCAGACGATTCGATTGATCCTTGGACGCGAAGAGCTCGACGAGCGCCTCGATGACTCGTGACTTGCCCGTTCCGCCCTCTCCACCGACGAACTGGCACAGCTGGCGTACGTTGCTTTTCTCCCCGCGCCGTATCAGGTCAAGCTGGCGGCATATAATTAGGAAGGCGATCGCCTGCTTCTTGTTTAGCGTGAGCCGCGCTGCCAGGGCCTTGCCCGCCTCGAGGAAGGAGGTTGAGGCACCGAACCGGATCTCCATTCCCGCGCTGGCCCCCGCTACTCCTTCCTCGAGCTCCGCTGCCGTCATCTGGACGTCGTCATCCCCGAAACCCGTGAGCACGCCCCGCACCGCCGCGCGGCGACCAGTCACCGGTGCCGTGGACAGGCTTTGTATGCCCCGTATCATCTTCTCCTCTCCTGGATGCGCGGATTTGCTGCGACTTTATGGCCCTAACCTCACTTTGCGGCGGTATGGTGGCTCCGGAGAATGCCCGCCCGGGATGTTGATTCGTCTTGGGCCCCGTTCGGGTAGTATTGTGGCCTGGACCTCGGAAGAAGAGGACAGCGCCGATTGCTGAAATCGGCTGAGCTCCTGCATCATCGCCGTGAGCTCCGGCGAGCCGGCCGTGATTTGGTTCGGCCCGATCGAGCTTCTGACAACGTCGATTAGGCGATTCGTGCTTCCCGCACTGTCGGCCTGGTATCCCGATCCGGGCTCGACACCCACCTCCCCGGTGCCGTCCTCGTCCGGACGTACTGCCGTGGGGTCGCCGTCACCGGACGAGGCCGCCCACTGCCGTGCGTCCCGCTTTGCATCTTCGGCCGACCGTCGCAGCAACTGCACGTTATCGACGAAACATGATATCCTCGGGGCCAGGGCTGCTCGTTGCCGCCCCATATGCAGTTGCTGTCGCCCTTTCTTCGTCTAAGAAAGACTCCCACGGCACGAACAGCGCAAGATGCTGCACAGCCGCTCTTCGCCATGGAAATTAGCCTTCTCGACCCGGCGCCTCCGGCCCGTCGACGACAAACGCACCTTCGGTAGCACGACCCTTCGTCGTCTTCGTCGAAATCCTTGCTCAAATACCCGTCGAGGCAGACCGTGGCCTGCTTGCCCGGTCGCCTGAGCACCTGCGCCCAACGGCCTCCCGGAGCCCAGCCGCTCTCGAACGGGACCTCCCCCCAGCCGGCGGGCCCCTCGTCCCTTTCGTTGCGCTTCAGCCTGACCAGCGAAACGTAGTCGTAGAGACACAGCCCTCGAAGGACGTCTCCCCGATGACGGTATGCCTCGACACGGCAAATCCTCTGGCCTGCTTCTTCGACGAGTATTGACTCGTCCACAGAGCCATCTGCAACGGCTGCGCCGCTTTCTCGTCGAAGGTGCGGCCATTGTCGGAAGACTTGCCAGTAGAGCAACGATACGTTCAGGAACGCCCAAGCACTGCCATTCGTCAGTTCAGTCGCGCATCCCAGGAGGTCCGCGACGACCTCGACCTGCGATAACGGCCTCTCCGTAAACACGCGATTCGCCACCTTCATCAGGAACTGCCGTGTCTTATTCTGCCTGCCATCGTCACCGGCACCACTGTCTCCACGAACCTCCGCGCCGTCGGCCATTCCGTCACCTGCCCTGGGAGGCAAGAGATCCGCGGCGGCGGCGACGCGCTTCCATACAGGGTCCTCCACCTTGGTCGCATAGTTTGTGACGTAAAGATGAGGGCCATCGTCTTACGCTGTGTGGCGATGAAAGATATGTCATGGTTGTGGCGAAGCCCACGGCAATGGCCTTGTTCCACCGATTCACCATGCTGTGCGACCTCCGAATCCGCAGCACGCCGTCTCCCGTGAAGGCCGTCTCGTCGACCAGTCCCCACGGCGCCTTGAAACGACATAAATCGCCCTTGCGCCCCCCTTTGCCCAGCGAGTACTTGACGCAGGTCGGGCTGTGGGTATGGATCTGCGTCGCGCCGGCACAGAAGTTCGCTTCCTCGTCGAACGAGGCTGAAAATTGCCGTTCGTCGCCCAGAAATTGCGATATATCTGACGTCACCGATCGCTCGGCCTGCATTGCGCAGAAGCCTTCCTGGTCCAGATCCTGTCTTGTTCGTCAGCTTTCTCGGCTTTGACAGACGGAGGACGCAGGTCAACACGCCGGCCCCCGCTCATACCTCGGAAAAGACACTGTCGACGTATCTGACGATGCGTTCTCGGTATGCCGCTTGATCCTCGCCGTCGATATCGGCAAGCATCGAGCTTAGATGCACGTTGCCCTGCAGCCAGAGCAGTCCGTGAACATGGAGCGCTCCACGCTCGTTGGTCTCGACGGCACCGTAATAGTGGCTGATGCGCCCGAACACCGACTCCTCGCCCACTCTCACGTAATGTTCGAAGAACAACGTCATTTCTCGGTGGAAGAATTCGGCCGAGCTTAACGGGTCCGAGATGGCCAGCCGCGCACGTTTGAACGCCTTGTCGAGGCCTTGCAGGAATGCCTCGGCCGCTGCGGGATCACGTGTGCGGTATGCCGCCAGTCTCAGCTTCACCGGGTTCGTGATGTCGTTCGGGTTGAGCGTGAACCAGATTGCAGGCACGCCACGACATAAGATGAGTGACTGGATCTTGCGCCGCATGCTCAGACGGAGCTCCCTCGACATGGGCTGCCGATAGCCGTACAGCGAAAGGCATCTTAGAAGCTCCTTGACGCCATCGTCGGTAGTCTTGCCCGACGTCTCCAGCTCCGCCCTGGCGGCCGCTAACCTATCCGCTGTCAGCGACCGTACGATGCGCTCCACCTCGGCGAAGTTCTTCCGCGTCGCGCTGAGCATGCTGACCCGACGATTCTTCGACCGCACATCCATATTGAAAACGAGAAACGAGAAGATGGTATGCGTCGCGAATCGGCCACCATGGCGCCGCAGCACAATGCCGGCCCAGGTCCGAAGGCTTATGTTCCGAGACGACAGAAGATCTCGCGCCGCCGTCTCTTCTCCAGCAGCCGTACCCGCCAATTGACCGGCCCCTCGGGTCCTAAGATGACTTCCTCCGCGAGCCGTGGTCCTCCAAATCCGAACGGCAGTAGGGTGGGAAGGTCTTGGCGAAGAACGAGGCGTCGAGCGAGTCGGCGAATTCGTCTCCGCGACAAACGTGGATGTATGGCTCGCGGACATCCGTGCCTTCTTGACCCGCCTCCGCCGACCTTATCCATGCCCTCGGCCCCTTGCGGTCGTTCTCGGCCCCATCGCCACCCACGGCATTGCACGCAAAGCGGAGCTTCTCTGCGTCCGACACTTCCGGCGGTCCGTCCAATGCAAACATGCCGGAAGAGGTGATCTCGTTGATCGTTTTGGCTCTGTCATCGGGCTCAGCATCGTCAGTCCCGTCCGCTCCACTCCCCTCGGATTCTCGACTCCCCCTGTCCAATACGTCTTGTCCTTGGAGGAGCTGGGCGAGGACTCCTTCGATCTCCGCCGGACTATCGTCGTCCATGGCCCGCTCTGCGGGCGGCACGACCTGCGCCGTTCGCGTCTTCTCCCACGCAGACGGCTCGTTCCGCTCCATGCGGTCGTAGACCACCCGCGGCACACCGTGTGATGGTGTTCCCCAGCTATCCATTTCCGCCCTATCAATCTCAATATCGGCGTAATGGGGGTTATTCTTCTTCAACCAGATAAGCGCTCTCTCGACGACTTGACGCCTCACCGACAAGAGACCCGATAAGTCGCACGGTGCTGGCTTCTCCGCGCCCTGCCACGAGACGTGGATCTCGTCCATTGTTTGCCAGAGCGGGTGCGGGAGCACCCTTCTCGCCAGCTCCTGCACGTTGTTTGGAAACACCGTGATGTGGCCCTTGACATGTCTCGGATACCTCACTGCCTGCGTCTGCCCGCCCGGAATGTTATACCTCGTCACAAAGCCGTAACACGAGTTCAACGAGATGAGCTTCTCTTCGACCGGCGTCAGCCCCTTCAGCTCGTCGGGGAACATGTGCTCGCATCCGAGGCGACTGTGAAGGTGGACCGCCGACGACAGGCTCCCGCGCCCCAAGCATCGGGCACACTCCACACAAACCGAGACGGGCTCACCCCCGGGAAAGCAGCTTCGGCACGCAAATGGTGAGCGCTCACCCCGAGGAACGGGACTTGATAGCCACTGATCCCACGGAATCTCCTCAACTCCTTCCTTGTACGCTTGCGGTAACACAGCCTGCAGGTCATTATCGGCAAGGTGCTCACATCGTGGAACGCCCGATAAAACTTTCGCACCGTCGATACCTTCCTCTCATGCGGTATTGGTGTGCACCAGGTTTGCTCCTTAGACAGCCTTTCCTTCGCGACGAATTCCCTTCGAGGTAAAGCAAGACACTGGCCAAATCCTCTGCCTGCAGCTCACTCCTCCTCTGCCTCGGATGGCTTCCTCGAGTACGTTTCGTCGGGGTCTGGTCTCGGTCACGCTGGCGGTTCCTCTTTCTCTGTTCTACGGCCTGCGAGGATCTTTCCGCTGCCTCGTCTCGCCACGGCCGATCTTGTTCTCCCGCCGCCGCCTGGCGTGATGGCCGTGGTGGCAACCATCCGGATGACTGCGTATCTCCTGCCCTGCCTTGCATCTCTCTGGGTTGGGTTGGCTGAACGAGGGCTCCTGACGACTCCAGACGACATCGTGACAGCGGTTGCCGGCCAATCCTGTCCCGCCTGGCATCCGGATGACTGTATATCTCCCGCTCTATCTTCTATTGCTCTAGGTTGGATTGGCCGAATGAGGCGCTCCTGACGGCTGTAGACGAAATCCCGACACTGTTTGCCGGCCGACCCTGTCCTTTCTGGCGTGATGGCGGCGGTGGCCACCGTCCGGATGACTGCGTATCTCCTGCGCCATCATCCATCTCTTGAGGTCGGATTGGCCGAACCAGAAGCTCCTGACGACTCTAGGCGAGTTCCCGACAGGGCTTGCCGGCCGATCCTGTCCTCCTGGGCGGCTTGGGTGTCCTCGGAGCCCATTGGCCCTGTCCGCGCACCACGGCTTCGCCTTCCAGACGTGCCCCTCTGGACGCCCTCCACGAGCCCTCCTTCGAGGAGGAACTATCGACGTTAGTCGTCCTTTCCGCGGCCAGCCGCCTCGCCGACTTCCCTTGGGCAACGCTCTTTTGAGTGCCTCTGCCTGCTCTCTTCGTGAGGCATCGTCGGCCGCCGCGGCCGGCTTGGCCTCAATAGGCCGGAACCTGGGTGCCGCGTTTCCTTGACTTTTGTGGCCCGACGCCCGCTTCGGCCCTTCGTCCATTGCGATCGGTCTCGCCGCCGCGATACTCCTCGTCGCAGCAGCGGCCGCTGCTGCTGTCCCCGTTTCGCACTCTCCTGCCACCGATCTTACCTCGCGGCTACGATTCTCCCCCATGCTGGTGCTGTCTTATCGGCAAGGCTCCGCAAACGAACGATAGATTAGGAAGCCTTCGCCCGGGATATACCCCGAGATTGTCTCGCTTCCTGGCAATGGCGTTCCGCCGCGTTGGCATTCTTCTTGCTAACGGTTATATCCTTCCTTGTTAATATCCCTTTCTGCATTAGACCTCTCCTCTCTCGGACCTGCCGGGCTTCCTTTGTACCTATCGACAGGCCTATCTGCCGACAGCCCTAGTTTTCGCCATCCTATGCCGGTAGCCCTGCCGGACACTTTAATCCGCGTCGCCCTTGCTGCCCGATCAGTACCCAGCTCCGCAACACCACGACGCATCTCTTTGACGTCTGCTTACTTACAGCGGCAAGGCTCCTCGCTCTTCCCGGCGAATCCATACCACTATTGATCTACTATAAGTGCGTCTACGCTCGACTTCTTCCCTACTCCTTTCTTGACGCTGAGAACCCGTCCTTTTAGTGCGTGCAAGTGGCCTATCGACCTGCGCAGATGCACTATGTCTTCCTCTCTACTTCGTACCGATATGCCCGCACCGCACCTTCGAAAGCCGCTCGATAGCCAAAGGGGCGCTGGCGGTGAGATGTCTATGATGTCTTTTGTCCAGCCGGACTGTCCTGCTAGATTTTCCCACCAGGACGACCACCGCATCAGGGTCTTAACGCCGAGGCCATGGCCCGCGTCTTCCTGCCTCCTCCCGCCTGGCTGCTCGCGACGGAATATGCGCCCCTCCGATCGGATGCCGATGATTCCCCGACATCCGTCTTTTTTAGCCTCAACCTCTCCATCTACGGCCAGCCTATTGATCCCTCCGACTGGACCGAAGAGTGGTTTTTCATGCATGCCCGCGTCCACCCCTACGCGCTCGCATGGGAGGTTGAGCAACGCGACGGCCTCGAGTCTGACACGGGCCGCACCTTTCTCTATACGATGCCCGCCCTTGTCGTCCGCGATCAGGGCTACCAGCCGTAAGCCGTGCCCTGACCCTTCGCGAGTGCCGACGAAACGGTATATGGCTAAGATGGGCTTGAAGTGTTCTCCTAGGCTCTTTGCCTCCATGGGCGACTTCCCTGCATCCCGCCTATTGTTTCCTTTACCGGCCTTATCGTCGGCACCGGCCACTCCTCGCTGCGGCGGGACCTACTGCCCGGTCTAGGCGCCGCCCAACTTAACTGTTGCGGATTTGTCCGCCTTTCTACCTATGTCGCTCCTGGGATGCCTAATAAGGTCCCCTTCAAGGGCTTCCACCCGTTCCAGGTCTTCGTTATCTTCCCTGTTCGCGCTAACCCCTGGGCCATCTTGTGTAGGAAGATGGCCGAGAGGCAGGACTCTCAATTTCAGCCTAACGTCCCCTTTACCTGCACAGGCAAGGTCGCTGGCCTGCTCCGTCATGATGTCATGCTCTACCCCCCGGGCTCGGACCGGGACAACGTCTTTATCGTCGTCCCGGATTCCTGGACTTTTCTCGACAAGGCCGCCGCCGCCGTCACCACGATGGCACCGCTTCTCTCTACGCCACAGAGGCAACAAGCTTCCTCCGCTTCCGCGGCCTTCCGGGACGTGCGCGCTGCCTCTTTGTCTTTGATCACCCCTGGCACCCTCCCGCTCAGTCCTCCACCCTTGGCTTCGGCTTCGCCCTCGACCGGCCACCTTACGCCGCCCGGGAAACGATATTGCCCTGAGCCTGCCGATACGCCGACGAAGCGACCGTGTCTGCTGCATAAGGCCCCGGTGATCTCGTCTTCCCCTAAGCCCGCCTCCTCTGCTACCCACTCGTTCTCTGTTTCGGCTGCCTCCGCCGCTCATGAGCCGGACAACCCTAAGCCGGGTCCTGACTTACGGGACTCTTCCCTCGATTCCATTGTCGCCCATGGCTTGGGCTCGCCGGCCCGTCCGCTTCGAAACCGCCACCTATCTAAGAAAGCTACGGAAATGGAATAGCGTACGCTGCTATAACTCCTTAAATGGGAAGTGTTTTTCGTCCAGCCTGGCTGCCCCTTGGTCGTCGTTACCTTTCTGCCTCTGTACATCTGTCTGCCCCTTGTCTAGACGTTTTTTTCGTTCCTCAAGGCTCTTTGCGCAACCCTGTTGGGTTGCCTCTCCCGTTCAGCCCGAAGGGCGTGCCTTGAGGAACGTGCCTTGAGGAACGAAAGGATTATGCCCCGCGCCCCGACCACCCAAACTTTTTTCCCCTCAAAATCTTTGGCCTCTGATTGGCCTCCTAAGCCCCGCCCTCCTATTAGTCTGTCAGAATCGGAGGTTCTAGGTGATCCCAAAATAGGAAAGCCACGACTGTGGTGCAGTGGATCAATCGTATTAGGGAGGGCAGGCCCATTAGGCTTGCAAAGATGTGTGTATATTGCGTGTGTGTGTGTGTGTGGGCGCGCCCGTCCCCTTTTTGGGGTCTCTCGGGCTCTCTTGCAATGAGTCATCTTCTTATCTCCCTATCGCACGTGACCCCTGCCCCCGTTGTTCTGACACTCCGCCGCTCTCGCGCCGGACGTCTTGTCTGCGAACCCTTCTCGCTTTACAGCACCCCCCGAACAGTTCTGTCGCTCAGTTCCTCCAGCCTGGCTTGTGCGGCGGTCATCTCCCTGGGGACCCGGTTTCCCACCAGGTCTCTCTCTCGCACCTTCGACACGAGCATGATGCCGTCCAGCGTCGGGCACCGCGACAGCTGCACGTACAGGCTGTAGGGCTGATATTTGAAGATTTTGAAGTCGAATCGGCCTCGGGACCCTTGAATTGAATGAAGCCGAATCGGGTAAGGTCTTCAAATTCGACGAATCAAAAATCAGGAGTCTTCATTCAATTCATTCATAAAAATTGTGAATGAATGGCGATATGGTCGAAACGTAAGGCGAAAAAAAATTATCACCCCGCTTCGCGGCCAAGGGACATACAGGAGGAAAGGGTCAATACCGAAGCCACCCACCAAGGGCCTCTTCCTGTTCTTCCTCGGCAGGCTCACATACACATCAATAAACAAGCTGCTTTGACCCCATCATTAGGGGTTTGCCCGCGCGGACACGGTAACTTCGAGTTCGGCCGCGCTTGTGATGACGCTCTGCGTATTTAAAAGTCTGTTGTGCGTGTTTCAGTTGGATTCCACCGTCCACACTCCACTGGCAAAATCCTAGTCCCGCGCCGCCCGCGTCTGGCGGGGGCGTCGCTGGGGAAATCGAGGCGAAGGACGGCAGTTAGGGCGTCCATATATTGTGGTATAACGACCCTAACAGTGCCTGATACGCCACCGTTTCAGCAATCTTGCCACCCTATACGGAGTATTAAAAAACACCATGAAGCTCATGAACAGTGCCATTTTATAATGCACATGATTTAAATGTAGTGCCGCTCGAATGTTCTGGATTTTCTCGTTCGGATGATATAACCCTCGATAGTTACATGTCGTTAACATTTGCTCAAGAAATGCCACATCATCTTGAAGGCAATCAATGGATAGCCCATTTTTTGGTTGGAATACTACATTTCAAGCACATATTAAGCTCGGCAACCCATATTCTGGATATATAATATAATAATTATACCGCTGTACAGCCCCAGCAAGCTGATTCGAAAACCGCGTTCAGATCCTCAACATCTCAATACTGCGCGAACAATTGGAAGTGACACGAATCGAGTCAGCTCGCGATTTGGAGGCTGTTAGGGACTTATCTACTCCTCGAGCCCAATATGACTGCTACTTGTTTGTCCATACAAATTAGCCGATCAGGAAGTACCCGAAAAATCTGCATGATAAGGATATATTGTGCCAACTAGCCGCGTTCAGACGCGTTATTTCCGCTCAGTTGACCACCTGTTAATTCTACTGCTGTCGGAAAGACAGGGTCGTCAGCCCATCCACCTTTGCCTGCGTGGCGCAACGGTCTTCGCGACAACTGCCACGACATTATTTTACCACGACCTCGCCTAATTCCTGCTTCGATATTCCGACAGCGGCTTCGGATCAGCCCCCGAATCAACGCCCTGACCGACGACCTATCCTACCCGTTCAACCCCGACTCCTTGACACTTTATTGTGGTTTATTTGGTGTCGTTCCGACTACCTGTGTCGCGTCCATTCTCGAGCCTTTCAGCCAAGATCAGGTAAAACTTCATTACTCTCAATCTACCCTCCTTATTTAATTACCTTACGAGTGGATAGCTAATTATAACATGATACGTAGTATGGCCCCTGCTGAAACAAAAACATCTGCCGCAGCGAATTTCTTTGCTCCAAGGACCCGGCGTAAATTGCCAACGCAGAATTATGCCCGCATCGAACGTCCTCAATTCAACCTCGAATCCCGCGCGCGCGCTGATTCTAGCGCAACTCCGGCTCCTTCCTCTCCTCTTCCAACTGGCGAAGATACAATTGTCTGCGCGCCCCCGGGTCATCCTGACTGTGAGTCAGATGATGACATGCCCGACGCGGATACACCAGAGCCGCCATTGAACAGTAGTCATATGACGCTCGCAGAGAAAGCCGGACTTATCAAGAAGTGGGCCGACAACAAACAAAAGCATGTTCGCAAGAAGAGAGACAAGAACAGCCACGTCTATTGGTATATGCAGAGGAAGCTATAGACAGAAGCTTTTACTCAGAGGATAAGGATGGGCCGAAGATCTTCCAAGAGTTCCGGTGGACTTGTATAGAGTGCCTTCAAAATCCCAATACTCTTCGGAAGAGATTCCAGGTCCTCGAATCGAACCGCCGAGGGTTACCTCTGGCATGGGAGACCATTTAAAAATCCACGGTATTACGAAGGAATCTCACCACGCTCGAATTAATGGATACGGCCGCGCCATTGGTGGAGGAGATTATACAGAGGCAGACGCATGGAGCGGTCGACCTAGGCAGAGAGCAAGACTCACGGCAAAGGAGTCTATCCGCCGGTGGTTTGTAAACACCGACAACCCTTCTCTGTTGTCGAGACTCCTGCTTTTCAAGAGATGTTCTTGGCTCACAACACAACATGTGTGTACAGGAGTCGTATAACGTTACGCAATCATATATATACAGACTTTGTCGAACGCAGGAGAAGCTGAAGATTGAGCTTGAGTACAATTGTGCCACCATCTCGTTCACCCTTGATATCTGGACAGCACCGAATCGGGTGCCCATTTTCGCCATTATTGCGCACTGGATTACACCGGAGTTTGAGAGAGAGAGGAAGTTATTGAGTTTATTGAGCTCAAAAGATCTCACACTGGCAAACAATTAGCTGAGATAGTTGAGAGGACGCTTGAGGAGCTCAGGCTCAAGCCTAAGCTTCTCGCCATTACGGAGACAACGCCGGCAATAACGGCACGCTCTGTCAGTCTTTGTACAATTCTCTCAAGACCAAATTCGACGACAAGGTGAGCCCAATAGGAGGCCCCGCGTGCGCTTTCACGGCAGGAAGAGTTGGATCCGCTGTCTAGCTCATATTACCTCGCTCATTTGTGAGGGCGTCTTGCAAGATCTCAAAGCAGGCACAGCGAAGGAAGCCAAGAAGATGCTTGACAAGTGGGACGAAGAGAATAAAAGCAACAACTACACCATTCCGGGAGACTCTAGTCGAAGTGGGATTGCCAAAATCCGCCTCCTCAATCTCTGGATGTTGAGATCCGGGTCTAGGGAGCAAGACTTCAAAAGCATGCCGCGCACGCACTACCGGAAGCCAATCTACGATGTCGACACTCGCTGGAATTCGGCCTACGACATGATTGACCAATTCCTCGAGCTTGAGGCAGAGTATACTGAGTTCGTTGATACTCACCCGCAAGTCAAGTGCCTCCTGCCCTTATCAGAAGAGATTGTCGCTCTCTATCAACTGTGGAAGGTTCTGAAGCCGTTTAAAGACCACACTCTGAAAGTCTCCGAAGTTATGCCGCCGATCTCACAAAGTCTCGATATCTATTGGGATTTGGAAGCTCTCCTTGATGATGTAGTCGAAGGAGTTGGCGACTTTACAGACCTTGATATGTCCATTCGAGACGCCTTCTCGAAGGGCAAAGCAAAACACGTTACTTATATGAAGAAGCTTGACGATCAAATGATGCTATTCGCAGCTCACATCCTGGATCCGCGTTATAAAACTCACCAATTGGAAATGATGATACCGGATCAATACTCTGAGATTATGGCTAAAGTCAAGAAGTATTTCAAAACGGAGTGGCCGGAGCTAGCAGCATTGAATGCCACAAACTCAACTATGAGCCAATCCAGGCCAGCTGAGCGTCCTCAAGGAGTCTCCATTGCGCAATGGAGAGCCATCCAAATGAAGAAGGCGAGGGAGGCGGAGACGGGCGCGGCGATCCCTATTTCGGAGCTTGAACGGTGGCTTGCAGCTCCTCGAATAGAGTTCGACGAGTCTATTGCAAAGTCTCCAGACTTCCTACTGAAGTGGTGGAAAGAACACAAGGTCGAGTGGCCACTTTTGGCTGCGGCGGCGCGTGATCTTCTCTCTGTCTCTGGCTCTGAAGTTGACGTGGAACGCCTCTTCAGCGGTTGTAGAGACGAATTCGGTATCCGCCGTCACGCCTTGAAGGCAGATACGGTGCGAGTACTAACACTTTTACGGAGTGCTTATACTCAGGAAGATAAGATCGATCAGGCGTTGATCAAGGCGGCCATGGAGTATGACATCCTGCCCTTTGCCAATAGTATTATTTGGAGACCAGACCACATTCCGGGCAAGCTGGAAGATGGTATGTATGGATATACCCTCATTATATATGTAGGTATATGCTAATCTGTGTTCAGGCGAGAATCCTCCTCAACCTCTTCCTCCCACCGAGGCTCCCACTGAACCCCTACCCCAAACCTCCTGCATCCCAAGCCGATAAGTCTGCGATATCAACCCCCTGTCTAGATACAATGGAGGCTTCGGAGGATTGGGGCTCTAAGAGTGTAGCCGTGTACAGTGGCGGATTCGAACGCGTTGTACCGACGTATTTTGAGGATTCGGCAGAGCTTTGAAAGTGCTTATTTTCAGTCGATTTGCCTAGGACAGGCGGATCAGTATTTATGTAAGTTAATTTTTGTAGTATTCGGGATTATCGACTTCTTAGAAGGCTATAACTTAAAACTATATACTACTTATTGGCGTTTTTGAGGCATCTTTGCAATCGCTCAGGTACACACCAAATTCACTTCGTTTAGGGGATCCCTTCAAACCATTCATGAATGGCCTGAATTGGCCCAAACCCAACTTGAATCGCGAAAATTGGAGCTTGAAGATTTTGAATCAAGATCCAAAAAATTCAATTCATTTGATTCATCCTTCATTCAAAATCTTCAAAATCTTCACCTTCGTCTATCACCCCTAACAGGCTGTACGGGTCGCACTGCGAGGGGACGGCGCGTCCGCCGACGTTTGTCGTCCTCGTCCCTTGTAACTCGAGCGCGACGCGCTCCAGAGTCCCCCCCTGCACCTTGTAATCCGTGCACGCGAAGGCGGCGGCGCACGGCAGGCCCTTGCGGCTGACGTCGTTCTGCTGCCACGGTCGCTTCCGCTGACGCTGGATCCTGACGCTCATGGGCGTCAGGAGGATCGTGCCGGGCGGCATCCCGACGAAGTGGAAATCCTTCGTCGTCTCCGACCCCAGTATAATCGCCGCCGGCGGCCCGAAGTGGATCGTCGTGTCGGCCGAGATCCGATGCCCCGGGTACGCCTTGTCGACGATTACCTCCACCGCCGTGTAGCTGGCACCGTTCACCAACTTGAGCCCCTGATGGGTATTGTGATTCACGACGGCCGCCATCCCGGCCACGAACATGAAGATGGCCGGCACCGGGATCGCGCTGTCGTCGCCCTGGTTCAGCATCATGATGGCCTCTTCCTCGGTCGGCAGGCCGTCCTTCCACTTGTGCTCGGAGATGAAGACACGCATCGTCGTTTGCTGCAGAATCCGGAACGCCAAGCTCGCCTCCATGTTGAGGTTCCACCGGTTCCTGTTCAGCGGCGTTACCACGGTGATGCCCGTTTCCCACGGGATCCGCCTGTCTTCCCGGTGGCACCTCGAGTTGAGGAGGTCTAGGTCTTCCGCGGCCGCGGCGACGCGCTTCCACGTCGGGTCCTCTACTTTGGTCGCGTAATTCGTGACATAATAGACGAGGGCCATGGTCTTCCGCTGCGTCGCTATGAAGGAAATATCATGGTTGTGGCGGAGCCCTACGGCGATGGCCTTGTTCCATCGATTCACCATGGGATGCGTCCTGCGGATCCGCAGCACGCCGTCCTGTGAGAACGTTGTTTTCTCGACCAGCTTCCATGGCGCCTTGAAGCGACAGAGGTCGGCCTTTCGCCCCTTGTTGCCGAGGGAGTACTTGACGCATGTCGGGCTATGGGTGTGGATCTGCGTCGCCCCGGCGCAGAAGTTGGCTTCCTCTTCGAAGGCGGCCGAGAACCGCTCGGCGCTGTCTAGCAGGGATGAGACATCAGACGTCACCGAACGCTCCGCCCGGACGGCGCAAAACCCTTCCTGGTCCAAGTCCTGCTTTCCGTGGGTCAGCCTGCATCCTCTTGGCCCATGACTACGACGCCCCGCCCCTTACCTCGCAGAAGACGCTATCGACATAGCGGACGATCCGCTCGCGGTACGCCGATTGTCCCTCGCCGTGGGCGTCGGCGAGCATCGAGCTCGGGTGCGCGTTCCCGTGTAGCCAGAGCAGCCCGTGGACGTGAAGGGATCCTCGTTCGTTGGTCTCCACGGCACCGTAGTACTGGCTGAGGCGCCCGAACACCGACTCCCCCCCTGCATTTACGTAATGCTCGAAGAACAGCGTCATCTCCCGGTGGAAGAACATGGCTGAGCTCATCGGGTCGGAGATGGATAGCCGCACCCGTTTGAACGACATATCGAGGCTCCGCAGGAACTCCTCGGCCGCCTCAGGGTCGCGCGTGCGGTACGCTGCCAGTCGGAGCTTCACCGGGTTCGTAATGTCGTTTGGGTTGATCGTGAACCAGATCGCGGGCACGCCGTAGCGGACGATGAGCGCCAGGATCTTGTGCCGCATGCTGAGACGGAGCTCTCTGGACATGGGCTGACGATAACCATACAGCGAAAGGCTCCTGAGAAGCTCCTTCACGCCGTCGTCGGTCGTCTTGCCTGTGCTCTCCAGCTCGGCTCTAGCTGCCGCTAATCCGTCTGCAGTCAGCGACCGTACGATTTGCTCCACCTTGCGGAAGTTCTTCCTCGTCACGCTCAGCATGCTGACGCGACGGTTTCTCGACCGCACGCCCATGTTGAAGACGAGGAACGCGAAGATGTGGTGCGTCGCGAACCGGCCGCCGTGGCGTCGCAGCACCGTGTCGGCCCACGTCCGAAGGCTCATGTTTCGGGATGACAGGAGATCCTGCGTCCCCGCCTCTGGCTCGCTCGTGTTGGCCGCGCCTCTGCCCAACCGCACGCTTGCTTCCTCGACGGGTCGCGGCCCTCCAACACCGAATGGTAATAGCGTGGGAAAGGCCTTTGCGAAGAAGGAGGCTTCGAACGAGTCGGCGAATTCATCCCCGCGGCGGACATGGATGAATGGCTCAGAACCATCGACGTGCCCCGGCTGCCCCCTTGTCGAGGATTCGACCCACGTTCTCGGGCCCGTACCATCGTCGGCTGCGCCTTGGCGAACGGCATCGCATGCGAACCGCAGCTTGTCGACGTCGGCCACGTCGGGCGGTCCGTCCAACGCAAACATCCCTGACGAAGTCACCTCGTTGATCGTCTTCGCGTCATGGTCAACTTCGCCGTGGCTCTGTCCACGCACCTCATCCACCTCGTTCAACTCTGGCCCGGAGGCCTCGCGACTCGTCGTGCTTTCCCCTTTGTTGAGCATGGCGAGGACTTCTTCGATCTCTACCGCCCCCTCGTCGTCCATGGCCCGCTCCGTCGGCGGAACGACGTGCGCCGTCCGCGTCTTCTCCCACGCCGACGGCTCGTTCCGCTCCAGGCGCTCGTACACCAACGCCGGCACCCCGTGGGCCGGGTCTCCCCAGCTCTCCATCTCTGCCGCGTCGATCTCGATCTCGGCGTAGTGGGGGTTGTTCCTCTTCAACCAGACAAGGGCCCTCTCGACGACTCGCCGCCTCACCGATAGGAGACTCGACAGGTCGCTCGGTGTCGGCCTTAGCGCCCCCTGCCACGAGACGTGGATCTCGTCCATTACCTGGAAGAGAGGGTGCGGCAGCACGTTCGTCGCCAGCTCTTGCACATTGTTGGGGAACACCGTGATGTGGCCCTTGACGTGCTTGGGATATCTTAGCGTCTGCTTCTGGCCGCCTGAGACGTTGTACCTGGTGACGAATCCGTAGCACGAGTTCAGCGCGATCAGCTTCTCCTCCACCGGCGTCAGGCCCTTTAGCTCGTCCGGGAACGTGTGCTCACAACCGAGACGTCTGTGAAGTTGCGCCGCTGGCGACAGCACCCCGCGCGCCAAGCGTCGAGAACACTCTGCGCAGACCGGGACAGGCTCGCCCTCGGGGAAGCAACTCCGGCACGCAAACGGCGACCGCCTGGCCTTAGGGATAGGGCTTGACAGCCACTGGCCCCATGCAATCTCCCTCAGCTCTTTTCTCGCGCGCTTCCGGTAGCACATCATGCACGTCCGTATCGGCAGCGTGTCCGCGTCGTGGAACGCCCGATAGAAGCCTCGCACCGTCGACACCTTCCTCTCGTGTGGTACTGGTGTGCACCAGCTTTGCTCGTTGGACAGCCTTTCCTTTACGGCGAATTCCTCTTCAAGATGACGTAGGGCGCTGGCCAAATCCTCCGCCTGCAACTCACGTCTCCTCTGCTTCCAATGGCCGCCTCGACTACGTTTCGTCGGGCGCTGGTCTTGGTTGGGCAGGCGGTCCCTCTTTCTCTGTTCCACGGGCTGCGAAGATTCAGCCGCTGCCTCGTCTCGCCTCGGCCGATCTTGTTCTCCCGCCGCCGCCTCGCGTGATGGCCGCGGTGGCAACCGTCCGGATGACTGCACATCTCCAGCTCCATCTTCAATCTCTCTGGGTTGGATTGGCTGAACGAGGGGGTCCCTGACGACTCTAACCGAGTTCCCGACAGTGGTTTCCCGCCGACCCTGTGCCCCTGAGCTGCTTGAGCGTCCCTCGGCGCCCTTAGGGCTCTTCGGTGCGGGACTCCCACTATCCGGCTGAGCACCTACCGACCCTGATGCGGTAGCGTCCGCCTCTATAATTGCATGCCCATCACGCACGCTCATCGATGCGAACCGTCGCCCTTGCCCTCCCTTCAAGGGGGCACCATTGACGTCCGTCGCCCTTTTTCGCGGCCAGCTGCCTCGCCGACTTCCCTTAGGCAACGCTCTTTTGAGCACCCCTGCTTCCTGTCTTTGTGAGCCCTCCTCGGCCGCCGGCGCCTGCTTGGCCTCGATAGCCCGGAACCTAGGTGCCGCGTTCGCTCGACTTTCCCGGCCCGACACCCGCTTCGGCCCTTCCTCCGTTGCGTTCCGTCTCGCCTCCGCAATACTTCTCATCGTAACAGCAGACGCTGCTACTTTCCCTATTTCGCGCTCTCCCGCCACCGGCCTAACCTGGCGGCTAGGGTTCTCGCCCATGCTGGTGCGGTCTTGCCGACAAGGCTCTACAAACGAACGACGGATTATAAGGCTTCTGCCCGAAATATACTCTGAGAGTGTCTCGCTTCCTAGCAGTGGCGTCTCGCCGTATTGGCGCCCTTCCTACCAGCGGTCCCCGGCAACCCAATGGCCTTCATGACGCAGAGGCGACGCGGCAGTGCCCGACCGGGAGAGCCTCCTCCCTCTCTCTTCCCCCCCTTCCCTGTCCTACCGCCATGCGTCTATCCCTGCGGACGGCCTCGACCTGCCCAATCTAGCTCGGCCCACCTGGGACGATTGCTTCTTGATCCGTCTTCCCCGACCCCCCTATCAGTTCTAACCACGACTCCCCTACAACGCCTCCCTCTGGGCCTTGTGTGTGTTATATATATGGTCCGTTTCTACCCCTCATGAGGAGAGCGGCGCTAAATGGCATACAGCAAGGCGTGCGAGGGTGTGTCCAAGCTCCGTGTGTTGACCCTGCCTGCTTCATCCCCCTATTTTCAGCCTTCTAATACGCCCCCTCCTTATGTCCTTCCTTGTTGATGTCCCCCATTTGCATTAAACCTCTACACTCCCGGACCTGCCGGGCTTCCTCTGGACGTATCGGCAGGCTTATCTGCCGACAGCCCTAGCTTTTGGCCTCCTATGCCGGTAGCCCCGCCGGAGACTTTATTCAGTCCGCGTCGCCCTTGGTGCCTGATTGGGACCCAGCTTCGCGACACCACTACGCATCTCTTCAACGTCTACTTCCTTACAGCGGCAAGGCTCCTCGCTCTTCCCGGCGAACCTATACCCCCATTGATCTGTCCTAAGTGCGTTCACGCTCGACTTCCTCCCTGCTCCTTTCCTTCTTGACACTGAGCAATGTTGTTTTCGCGCGCGCGACTGGCCTATCGACCTGCGCTGATACGCCATGTCTTCCTCTCTACTTCCCACCGATATGCCTGCAGCACACCTTCGAAAGCCGCTCGATAGCCAACTGGGCGCTGGCGGCGAGATGTCCATGGCGTTCTTCGTCCAGCCGGACTGCCCCGTTCGATTTGCCCACCAGGACGAGCACCGCACAAGGGTCTTAACCGCCGAGGTCATGGCCCGCGTCTTGCTGCCTCCGCCCGCGTGGCTACTCGCGACGGAATATGCGCCCCTCCGATCGGAGGCCGACGATTCCCCGATATCCGTCTTCTTTAGCCTCAATCTCTCGATTTACGGCCAGCCTATTGATGACTCAGAATGGACAGAAGAGTGGTTTTTCATGAATGGCCGCGTCCACCCCTACGCCCTCGCGTGGGAGGTTGAGCAGCGCGACGGCCTGGAGTCTGACACGGGCGCCACCCTTCTCTATACCATGCCCGCCCTTGTCGTCCGCGACCAAGGCTTCCAGCCGTAAGGCGTGCCCTGTTCTCTTGCAAGCGCCGGAACAAATCCTCAATCATTGCGGACCGAGAAGTCGCCGAAGATATCTGGTGAAGTGGAAAGGCCACGAAGACGAAGAGAACTCCTGGGTGTCCCGAAGCGACTTCGTCGACAAGAAGTTCCTGGTGGACTACGATCGATCTGTCGGCAAGGAGCTTAAGAGTTCGGGACGAACTCCTCGGAAGGAGGCAACCTGTCACGCGCTAGGAGAAGGAATACCTCCGAGATGTCTCGGAGTAGGCCGTCAGGAAACGGAGGATGCTATCATATAAGATGGGTGCCTATTCTCGGGATTTTATGGGATCTTCAGAGATCAATGAATTGAATAATTGACCCCCGTTCTTCACTCTCTGTTTAGTTGTGTGTGCGCCTCACACACGGCTACCACAATGAGCCAATCCAGTTAGTTGAGCATCGAAGAACGGAAGACACGACACAGGGAGAAGCAGCAGCCGAGGATTTTATTCAGAGACTACATGATGCCACGGAGTTTGCGCAAGCAGCGATAGCTATGGCCCAGGAAATACAGCAAGCACAAGCCAACAAACACAGGACGGCCGCACCGAGATACAAGCCTGGGGATTGGGTATACCTCAACTTGAGAAATGTCAAAACATCGCGACCCTGCAAGAAGCTCGATTGGTTACATGCCAAATATCAAGTGCTCGCCGAAGTCAGCCCACATGCCTACAGGTTGGGTGTGCCTGGACGTATCCATCCAGTCTTTCACGTCGATCTACTCCGGCCAGTACCCGGAGACCCATTGCCTTCGCAGAAAATCGATCAAGAGAGTGCCCCACCGGTGCTGGTGGACGGCCAAGAAATGTACCTCGTCGAAAGGATTCTGGATGAAAGAATGGAAGGTACGCATAAGAAGGTGCTCGTAAAATGGCATGACTACTCGCAGCCTACGTGGGAACCCCTTACCACTATTCGACACACCGATGCATGGAAGCAATGGAAGAAACATAAAAAGAATGTCACCTTCTCAAGTCATCTTGACACAGATTGCCACGATCCCACGGAAGAGGAAACGTTGGAAGGGAGGGAGGTAATGTAACGGGCAAGCCGCTTCAACGGCGGCTGCGCCGCCTAGCTTCTAGAACCTTCCATTGGCTCGAAGCTATAAAATGCCGTTGTGCTCTCATGTAGTATATTCTCTTTCTTTCTTTCTTCTCTAACTTGATAGTAAACAGCATAGGGACTAGTTAGTTGTATCAACTCACTAGAGGCCTTTCACAGACAGCCTGCGGAGCGGTTTGAAGTTGGTGACAAGGTGTGGCTCTCGATGGCAAACTACAGATCACCACGACCGTGCAAGAAGCTCGACTGGCTGCATCACAAGTACACAGTCACGAAGGTAATTAGTTCGCACGTCGTTGAACTCGATGTTCGTGGTTCAATTTACCCGCGATTCCATGTTGACCTTTTGCGGAGGGCGCATCAAGATCCGGCTCCTGGCCAAAAGGTGGATGACGCACAGCCACCACCGGTACAAGATGAGACCGGCGCGGATCTGTGGGATGTCGACGAGATTCTCTGCGCGAGATGGAAGAAGCGCGGACGAGGGGAATTCAGGCAAGCACTAGTGCGATGGACGGGCTACGCAGAGCCGACTTGGGAGCCACTTGAGTGGTTGCAAGGAACAATTGCGATGAAGGCATTCGAGGACAAGTACGGGCCAATCAAGACCAATGATGGCCCTAGGGAGAGGTACGAGACGCTGGCAGGAAAGCAAGAACCCCGCAGACGCCGACCTGGTCGGAGGGGAGAAAGGGGGCTAATGTCACGGGCTGTGCCCGGCTTGGTGGACCCGGTTGTACCGGGTCCGGTGGGTCGTGCTCGGGTGGCAGCACCGGCCCCGCTCCGCGGACCCGGAAGCTGCGAGAACATTCTGTGAAGGGTAATATAAGCTCGCACTCGAGGCTACGCCTCGAGTTCAGCTTCCTTTCCTCCTCAGCTCTAGATAGACAACACATAGGCACCTGCTTGTTGAGTAAACTCCGGGCCAGCCTCTTACAGCCGTGGCTTCTTCCTGATTCCGACTTCTCTCTTGAAGTCTGCAACAACGATCCGGATCTCTGTTTCCGGTTGCCCGCTGCGTTGAAGAAGTAGGTCAATGGCCCTGACCATCGCAGCCCATGCGATGTCCCATTCCTCGATTGATTTGAGGAAGTCCTGACGAATCCTCGTATTGTTGATTGTAGAGACACCTAGGTCTCTTGAGTCCATGATTACTTGGTCGAGCTGGTCAGCCCATGCCTTCCAGTCCCGGCTTCCTTTCGTGTTGATTATTTGTTGATAACGGTCGTCGATTAGGGTCTTCTCTTCCTCGATAGAGGGGAGGACCTTCTGCTTGCTCTTTGATCTTGTCTCTCGCCGACTGTTGGATGAGGGTCTCCCCTTGGAGCCCTTCACTGATTGAATTCTTGATCACCTCCTCGATTTGCATTATGGCCTTCTTTTTGGCCTTATAACGGTCATATTCCTTGAGGTTGATCTTTTCTTGATGGCGGAATTCCTCCTTGGCCTCCTGAAGCCTTTCGTTGTAGTCTTCCTTGGCCCGTGCGAACCCGGCTTCATTGTCCGGGAAAGCTGTCCTCATGGGCTTTGGTCCAAGGGCTGCAACAGTGCCGCTCCAGCTGAGGTCCACGGGCTCCGTGAGCACCAAGGTCCTATCTGGGTCAATGTAGTCCCATATTTCATGTGTTTTAGCCAACGATTTGATTCCCCTAATCCAAGGGGTCCAATCGAGGCTTTCTTTGAGTTTGGTGATGTACACCTCCCTGCCTGTTTGCGTGGAGGGCATCATCGTGATGGATTTTACCTCTTTTGACGAGGGATGCAAGTTATGTGGGATTTTTATGTGGCCCCTAAATTCGACTGGTGTTGGATCCACCTGTGCACTAGGCACCGATCGCGCACGTATAACTAATCGACCGCGCTAGTCACGTGCGAGTAAGAGGTGAGACACAGGGAGGAAGGTCTTTGCACACAGTTTGTATGGGACACGTTTCCCTAGTTACACAAGATATAACCAATTGAACCAGTTCGAATAACCTCACTGCAGTGAAGAGCCTGTCCACACTGATCAGTGTCGCCCGGCAAAGGTGACACAGAACAGCAAGACGGAAGAGAGCTAACCTATCGTCACGCTCTGCAAAGCGAGCTCCTGACGGTAGGATAGTTGCTACAACGCGCGGATTGCTACGAAGACTCTGCATCAGAGCCCACTCTAGTTATCCAACCGTGCCTAAGCTTTGCTGTCATCAGCGACCCTTAGGCGTGCCCTATCGCACATTGATAACCTCATTGACACCCTGTGCCCTGTTTCTCAGCACACAGCCTGTCAATATGTCTGACAATTCATCTGCCGCACTAGCCCCGGCAACAGCCCAGGATACCCCGGCCAACGTGTCTCTCGAAGACAGGCAACTCGTTGAACGGAACCTGACGATCGTGGAGCCCTTCACTCCCGATCAGGCATTTCGACGCGGATTTCCTCAACGAACCTATCACCCAGAGCTCCTCCCTTGTCCACCGCAACAGCTTCTTCTTAGGCTGTGTGGCAACATACACGGTGGATAAACGTAACCACGGAATTGCCCTGCTTGGGGATCTGTATAACGACTTCACGGGATGGAGCTATGATGACTTCGAACTAATCAACCCACGCCTTAGATCAAGACTCCGGACGCTTCTCAGAATTAGGGGGATCTATATGGGCAAGGCCAACTCTAGCATCTCTCGAGCTTTATGTGGCCTTCTAACAAGTAACGAACTTCCTGAATGGGATGAGAACGAGTTGCTTGGTCAAGAGGTTGCTGAAAACACCGTGGCATATAAGGTGAAACAGAAGCTGCTCCAAGGAACTGTTAAAGCGGCTATATCGTCACCGGCACCGGTAGTAATCCAGCAGCCAACTATTACCCGACCGGCGGAACCGGAATCCCTCAGATCATTGAGACCCATCAACCCGCTCAGCAAGAGCCTCAGCATCAATGGCGCGAATCCCTCGGTATCAGCAGACGCCCCGTACGGACTACCAACTTCCGAGATGCATACACGAGCATTCCACCTGTTCGATTCGAGAACGAGGAAGTTGAGGCCGATCTCACGATTAGATTCATTAAGATATGGGACAAGAAACTAGCCTATACCGGCGAACCATACGATATCTTCGATGACAAGATCCGAAATTCATGAGCGTGTGCCGTCAAGCAAACATTCCTCCGTCTAAATTCCATGGTGTTTCCCTTCGATTCTGGCCAGGAAGCTCAGTCCTTCTTTCTACACGAAATCAGCACTGATTTAACCTTCGCTGAGATGTATCAGAAGATGAAAGAGCACTTTGACACCGAAATCAACCAGAAGATGTATCATACCCACTGGAGCACCCTCACCTTCAGCCGACTTCGGGCTGAGATGCCCGGTAAGTCATCTGACGAGGTCCTCCAGGCCCTTCTTACGAAATTGCGGCTCTGTAGGAGAGCACTCGGGGATAAGTCTGGCGGCGAAGGTGGCCTGATCGATGCAACGCTCAGGGCGTGCCGTGGTGTGCCTGAATTCCGACTCGCGATATACTCTCCCGCACCTACATTTGAGGGATTGGCATCACAGCTTCGATCATCGCTATCTGCCATGCAAGATGAACGATCTGAACAACCCAGTGGCCAATATCCCCAAGACCTGGATAGAGGACATGATCAGCACTTCGTGGATCGCAAATTTCAGCGAAATTCCGGCGGAACAAGAGGTCAATCACAAAGGCGTCAGCCAAATTGGAAGAAGAAATGCTACGTTTGCGGCAAGGAAGGTTGTTTCTCAACGAGACATCCTGAAAACGAGAGAAAAGCAGCCAAAGAGAAGTATCTACGAGAGAGAGGCTTCCACGGTCAATCTCGTTCGTATGCTATGTTCTTGGCTGACTATGAAGGGAATCACAGGATCAGGATGACTCGAGAACCGAGGAATCCGATGATTCTGACTCCTCTGACCCTTATGAATCGTTCTACGCTGCTGCGACCTTCTGTCCAACGAAGCTTTCCATCATCGGATCTCCAGTAGGCATCAAGTTATTCAACAGTGACGAACCCACACAATTCATACTAGATCGTTACTCTCAAGACTCGTTCCAAGGAATCATGCCGGACACAGGTGCGGCATGCATATCGACGGGAGGAATCGAACAACTGCGTGCTCTCCAACGAGAGATGCCCCCAGTCCAATTCCGTGATGATCGCAAGCCCGAACCAGTTAGATTTGGTGCAGGAAGATTGGAAACACCACTTGGCGTGATCACCTTGAACACACCAGTGGGAGAGGTTGATTTTCATATAGTCAACGTGCCAACGCCATTCCTCCTATGCCTAGCTGATATGGATCGGCTCGGCGTATATTTAAATAACGTCACGAACGAGCTCGTTGGCAATGGTGTGAGCGTTCCAGTGATTCGAAGATGGGGTCACGCGTGGTTCTTCTTGCGGAAACAAGAGGCATCAGTGGCATATCTCACGGAGGCTGAATTGCGGCGCCTCCACACGCGTTTTGGTCATCCATCCGTGTATCGGCTGCACAAGCTGCTGAATTCGGCTGGCCATGATGTGGAAATCGAAGCTCTGGAAATGATCAAGAAGTTCTGCCACTACTGTCAGATGAAATCCGACCCGCCACGAAGGTTCAAGTTCAGCTTGAAGGATGATTGTGACTTCAATTACGAAGTCATCGTTGATGTCATGACATTGGGTGGCAGACCAGTCCTCCATGTTGTTGATCGCCACTGCCTATCAGGCAGGGAGATTCCTATCCAACATGACGGCCAAGGAAACGTGGCTCGCGTTGAAACAATGTTGGATGGATACATACCTTGGACCACCCGATGTGATCACTCATGACGCAGGCACGAATTTCGCTGCTGCCGAGTTCCAAGCAGAAGCGAAATTGATGGGAATAACGTGTCATCAGGTGCCTGTGGAAGCACATTGGGCTGTTGGGAAGGTTGAGAAGTATCATGTGCCCGTCCGAAGAGCATATGATATATTAAAGGCAGAGCTGAAGGATACCGTGAGCCCTGATCAAGTCCTTCAAATGGCTTTCAAGGCTGTCAACGACACAGCCGGTCCGGATGGCCTCGTTCCAACCCTCCTCGTCTTCGGTGCTCTGCCTCGAATGACGATGGATTCGCCGCCTACACCTTCCGCAATGGCAAGAGCTAAGGCGGTGTGGCGAACGATGTCAGAGCTGAGGAAGATCAACGCCCAGAGGAAGGTTCAGACCGCGTTAAATACGCGTAATGGGCCTGATACAGCGTTGCGCCTGCCCTATCCCTGGCGCTAGGAAGCGAAGTTCGCGTATTTCGCGAGAAGCACGGATGGCAAGGCCCATATAAAGTGCTCGAGGTGACGGATACGGAAATCGCAGTTGACCTGGACAACGGACCAGCGAAATTTCGCAGTACATGCGTCCAACCGTACTATCGTCACCCGGAATCGCTCCTTCCTCAGTTGCAACCCGACCCTAGCCCTAGCCGCACAGACCCATCAACACAACAATCACTCCTTCCTCAACACAATCCGATCAACAACATCCTCTTCAAAACCCTTCCCCTTCCACCCACAACTCAACAACCTCTTCCTCTTCCTACCACAGAAGACCAACCCAAACCTTTCGAATACCCTGAGCCAAAGAGGCCGCGCAGGCGTGGCCGACCTAGGAAGGATGCTGCACAAAATGGCACATCAGAATCCACTATTGTTTGCTCACCCGTTCAATTTATCGTTCATCATGAAGCTAATGCGTTTCTTGTTCGAAAAGAAATGGAACATCTCGGCCTAGCCAAGCGGCTACGAGCTGAAGGAAAGATCACAAGCACCGGTTTCCCATTTGAAGCTTCCGACACACTCGAGCTCACGAACCTCCTCGCCGCTGGGGTCATTGTACCCGAAGAATTCGATGCGAATAAACATGGTGGATATCGTGTCTTCAAATCACGAATGGTCAGAGAGGTTAAGGAAGAAATACTGCAACGCCATACGAGAAATCACGCCTCGTTGTGCAAGGATACAATGATGATGGGAAACGTGGGATCCTCACACAAGCCCCTACCATCAGCCGGCCCGCACAACGCGTGGCCTTGGCCTTAGCACCGTTTCTCTGCACACGGGATATGTTCATCATGATCAGAGACATCACGATGGCATACACACAATCCCAGACCAAGCTGGCCCGTGTCATCCTTGCAGCCCTTCCTCAAGAACTCAAAAGAAGATATCCAGAGGGAACAATCCTGCGAATCGTGAAGCCGCTATATGGCATCGCAGAGGCAGGAGCCCACTGGTTCAACACATATCACGACCATCACTGCCGCAAGCTTAATATGGAAACCTCTTCGTTTGACCCGTGCCTTCTGATCACGGCAAACAACATCGCCGACAAGGACCTGTTTGGCATCGCGGCCTTGCAAACGGATGACACATTCATTGTTGGCACAGATGCATTTCTCAAGATCGAGGAGAAAGAACTCTGCTTTAAGGCCAAGCCAAAAGAGATTCTCCAAGAAGGTTCCATCTGCGACTTTAACGGTAGCCGCCTGACCATACAAAATGGCTGTGTCATCGTCAGGCAGAAGGGCCAAGCCCAAAACCTCGAGGAGATCAATCTTCAGGCATCAAGTAGGCATCAGGATTATGCTGCTCAACGCGCCCGGGGGGCATATATCGCTTCGATTTGCCAACCCGAAGCAACATACGATTGTTCCGTTGCGGCACAAGCCCAAGAGCCCGTTAATACCGACTTCAAGGCTTTGAACAAGCG